ATTTCATTACCAGTGCCCACAGTTTTATTAATTTATTCAGTCTGCAGAAAGTCTGCTAAGCAATACGATTTGCTCTTTTGGACTGTTCTCAAGCGTGAGAGAAAAAGAAAAGGAAAAAAGTCTCCAACAGACCAGGTGGGAAAAGAGTTTAACCCTCTCTTCCATGCAAACCACATGTGATTACACTCCTAAAAATGTGCTCAGAACAAAGAAATGCAAACACGAACAACACAGTTGTCATGATTACATAACTGGAACAAGGTAAAAAGAGAAACCCGAAGAGCGAATTACGTGTGCCAACAATGCCCATCTGCTCCACCTTCCATATAAAAGCCAGAGTTGGGCAAAAGGAAAAATGATATTCCAGCTCATTAGGTCGTTTCACTCATCACTATTCAACCGCTACACAACAGCCTCGAGCAACTCTGCCCATCCAGAAGATCAGTGTGTACTGTACACAACAAACTCTGCATGCTGTCTCTTTGCACACGCACTCAAACGTTCACTGAACAGCTCTGTACATAAAATCCCCCAGAATCATAGCACTAATCTCTACTCCACAGACTTTACTAATCTATCTTGAGCCATTTACTGTAAAGCCAGAGTTAAGCTGAAGTGCTTCGCTTTATTTCACTGGCATTAATCTTGAAATGCACTTCCTACTTGCTTTTAAATCCATCAAAGTCTGGAAAAAAAAACAAAAAACTATTAAACTTAATGCTGCCGTTTAGCAATGACTGCTACGTCCTCATATCTGCACACGTGAAGCAGACGTTTGGTGTCAGTGCTGTTTGATCACATTCCAGATCAGCTTACTCCAGAGTATCGATGAGTTTTCGGTAGTCTACGGAGGGAGAGTAGACAACTTCCTCGATGAGCTCTCGGTTACAGTTGGCATAGGCTGTGGAGATGTGAATAAAAACCTCCAGGTGCTTCATCCTGTGAGCCAGGGCCAGCATCATCTGAGTGGCCAGGACATTCAGCTGCACTGCATCCCTGAGTGAAAGAGGGTAAAAGACAGGATAGTACATGTCAGGAAAGCAAGACGTGATTGCAGCTCCACCTAAAAATGCTTACTTCCGTTTTGATTACATAAGGTTCACATATCTGTCGTCGCAAAACACAGAAGTATCATTTAAGCTTCCACAAACAAAAGTTCCTTATCAAATGTTTACCTGACTCCTAGTCTGACTCAAAATCTACACTACACTGATGTGCACAATTTCCTGCTTGCACACTGCCCGAAAACTTTGAACAAGAACACAAATGTCCACAATACTAATTATAAACAACATCCACTTCCACCCATTTAGCACAAATAATTTCCTCCAAGCATAATGTACCATCTCCAAAAGGCTGCAAGAGTTAAATCTCGAAGCAGCTCCAGGCGTGCCCTTTGCATGCCGGGTCAGGTGTCATCAGTCTGTGTGGTTCAAAACAACAGTGGGCAGTCCGTCAACATTGCTGTTTTTTTCTCGTGCCGCACCAAGCAAACACTGACTCCATCACCATTCATTTGAATAAATAACAGCTATTTTTTTTTTAAAAAGGCAGTAGATCGCACACACTAAGGTGCTGCCCTTTACCAGGCTCACAGAATTTAATAAGAAGAAACTAAGCTTTTAGGAGAAGCTAAAAGCAGCAAGTTTTAGGCAAAGAACGAAGGAAGGTGCAAGGTCAGAATATAAATGAGCAAAGCTACAATCAGGAGCCCCAAACATAAGACCATACAGCTTAAAACTAATATAGAAATGTAACCCTTTAAGACCTACTGTAGAACCAAGTCCGCCAGAGCTTATATTATATTTTTACATGCTGTAGTGCCATTTTTGGGAGCATTTCAAGTTGCTAT